TTAATTGAAGTAAGTTATTGATGTGCAAGATTCTCTACCATTGTAGAGCAGTAATATTTTGCAATCCATTGTTGTGACTCTTTTTATGGCTGAGATCATCTCACAGATTATCATCTAATATTACAATTAAAAGCTAAGGAGAGGGCTAACCCCATAGCCTAGTAGTTAAGGGAGCTGGATCCTACATGGCCAACCAGAGTTCAAATCCCAGCCCCAGTGGCCTGGAAGCCATACCTCAGATATGATAATTTAGCTGAAATACTTAGTAGATGTCAACTCTTAAAAGTTTTCAGTTAACAGTTTAATCTTTGAACTTGTTTATATCTTTTATATACTAAGTATTACTCTACGCACTGGAGATATAGAAATGAGTAAGATTTCATTCATAGTCTCAAGGACATTCCAGTCTAATAAGGGAATAACAAATAAAGTGATAATAATGGTTAACAGCTAGGCTAACAATGGCATAAAGGTTATTATGTTCCCTTTTTTTTTTTTTTAAGAATTATTTTAGGGACCAACAGTTGGCGTGAAGGCTATGTTGCTGGACTACCATGTAGCCGGCCGCAGTTCAAGTCCTGGACCCAGTGGCTTAAACTCATGCCGGGCACGTGTACATGTGTGCCCAAGATCCTGAGAGGAGAATGGAGGAGAAGGGATTGCGGCGTGACCATCCCTCCTGGGGGGTGATTTCTCTCTTTCTGTCTCTCTGTCTCTTTCTGTCTTTCTGGCGAGTGCACATACCCTATAGCAAAAAACTCTCAAAAAACAAACCTATTTTATTTAACTTTATTTATTTATTTTAATTTGACCAGAGAGGGCTAGAGTGTGTGAAAGAGAGTGGGAAAGTGAGAAAGCAAGCTGCCAGTTCTAGGCCTCAAACCGTGGTTGGCCATGTGGGAATCCAGCACCCTTAACCACCACATCACCTGCCATCCCTCATGTGTCATTTATTTTTCTAAGTGCTATTCCTATGTTCATTTCACCCTCAAAACAATATTGTGAGGAAGGTATTATGATTACTTCCATTTATGGATGAAAAACTAAAACAAGGAAAAGTTAAATAACTACATCATACAGGTAGTGATAATGATTTGTGGATACAGTGATGTTCAGGATATCTGGGGAGCAGAAATGAGTATACAGTTCAATGTGAAGTTTCAAGATAAGGATCCCAGAAGCGTAACTCTTGAACTAAGTTATTAGTCTAATAAATAAATGATGAAAAAATCCTTGAGATTTTCTGAAGGAGCCAAAAAACCTGTCTCTAAAATGGTTTTACGTATTTTTATTTAAAATAACATACTTTTTTTTTTTTTTTTTAATAGAGAAAGAGACTTGCTATAGGGGGTATGTGCTTGCCAGAGAGAAAGACAGAAAGCACGAAATCATCCCCTTGTGGGGGTGGCCATGCCGCAGTCTGTTTTCCATTCTCCTGCTGGGATCTGGGCGTGCATGCACACTGATCTGGTGTGAGTTTCAAGCCACTGGGTCTGAGACTATAACCGTGGTTGACTACATGAGAGTCCAGCAACATAACCATTACGCCATCTGCTGGTCCCAAAATAACATACTTCTTTTAAAAATGAAACTCACGTTGATTCTGATTTGTGTAGATGGTAGAGTGGATATATTTTCTTTAAGTGTTTGGTTTACTGACTACTAATTTGAATTAGAATTTAAGTTGATTTTATGTTCTTAAAAGTTGATAATGTAGCTTTAAAGTGACTCAGTTTTGATAAGTCCATCATAGATGCCAACAAACTATTTCATTAAGTATTTGTTGACTTCACTGACTAGAGACATGAGTGTGGTATATTACCTAGTTAGTTGCCTCAGCATGGCACAGTCTAATAGTTTTTTATGCCCCCAGGGAGGGATGGCCACACTGCAATCCCTTCTTGTATATTCTGCTCTCGGGATTTTGGGCATGCATACGCATGTGCGCCTGATGTGAGTTTCAAGCCACTGGGTCCAGGACTCAAACCATGGATGACCACATGGGAATCCAGTGATGTAATCATTATACCATCTGCTGGTCCCAAGAGAGAGAGGTACTCTTTTTTTCTTTTTTGAAAGAATTACATTATTTAACTTTATTTATTTATTTATTTTCATTAGACCAGAGAGGGACAGAGAGAGAGAAAGTGAGAAAACAAGCTGCCAGATCTGGTACTCAAACCTCAGTCAGCCGTGTTGTAGTCCAGCACCTTTAACCACCACACTACCTGCTGGCCCCAAGATAGGTACTCTTAACAGGATTACATTGTGCCATGATCCCCTTTCTGAGACCCTCTAGCTTGATGGGATCTTGGGCATATGCAGCCAACATGTTTTCAAGCCTACCTAGCAATCCAGACCTGCAGTCAGACATGCAGCTTGCAGCATCAATTTAGTTTCCTACTAAATTTACCTCCAGCCTGGGCCAAATGCTTATCTCCTTCATGGGGCTTTTCTAAGTTGTTTTCTCTCTAGTAACTCTCGTCCAACTGAGAATCACTCCATTTTGTAAACTCGGGTAACTTTTTCTTCTCACATTCTACTTTGCAATATAGCGAGTAGCATTCATGCCTCTTTTAGCCACTAGACTGATTATAAGCTCTAAGTCATTTTAGATCCCCTGACAGCAGCAGTCTTAGTACTTGTTTGTAGTAGGTATAAATACTTGCTTAATTGAAGTAAGTTATTGATGTGCAAGATTCTCTACCATTGTAGAGCAGTAATATTTTGCAATCCATTGTTGTGACTCTTTTTATGGCTGAGATCATCTCACAGATTATCATCTAATATTACAATTAAAAGCTAAGGAGAGGGCTAACCCCATAGCCTAGTAGTTAAGGGAGCTGGATCCTACATGGCCAACCAGAGTTCAAATCCCAGCCCCAGTGGCCTGGAAGCCATACCTCAGATTCATATAGGATGGAGAAATGGAGAAGGTATTGTAGCATGACCATATCCCACTGGAGAGTGCTTTCTCTCCCCTCTCTGTTTCTCTCTGCTAGGTGCACATATCCTCTCATGATGAGTACGTTAGACAAAATCTCTGCCCTTGTGGTATCTTTAGCCAGAAGAGCATTTTATGTAATATTATTTTTAACAAACACCAGTCATTCTGAGTCATTCAAGTAGATCTGTATTTTTTTTAAAGTGATTATAGGAACATTTCTAGTTTTTATTCTGTGATAACTTCTGTACAAGCAAAAATGAAATACATGTTTTTAAGAAAATGCCAATGAACTTCTAACAGGGTCATGGAAAGTGGCAGAAGTCATGTAGATACCTGAATTTTGAATCAATAATAAACATTTATTATGCACATTTTATGTAGGGAGGATCTAATGAAATGATAATTTAGCTGAAATACTTAGTAGATGTCAACTCTTAAAAGTTTTCAGTTAACAGTTTAATCTTTGAACTTGTTTATATCTTTTATATACTAAGTATTACTCTACGCACTGGAGATATAGAAATGAGTAAGATTTCATTCATAGTCTCAAGGACATTCCAGTCTAATAAGGGAATAACAAATAAAGTGATAATAATGGTTAACAGCTAGGCTAACAATGGCATAAAGGTTATTATGTTCCCTTTTTTTTTTTTTTAAGAATTATTTTAGGGACCAACAGTTGGCGTGAAGGCTATGTTGCTGGACTACCATGTAGCCGGCCGCAGTTCAAGTCCTGGACCCAGTGGCTTAAACTCATGCCGGGCACGTGTACATGTGTGCCCAAGATCCTGAGAGGAGAATGGAGGAGAAGGGATTGCGGCGTGACCATCCCTCCTGGGGGGTGATTTCTCTCTTTCTGTCTCTCTGTCTCTTTCTGTCTTTCTGGCGAGTGCACATACCCTATAGCAAAAAACTCTCAAAAAACAAACCTATTTTATTTAACTTTATTTATTTATTTTAATTTGACCAGAGAGGGCTAGAGTGTGTGAAAGAGAGTGGGAAAGTGAGAAAGCAAGCTGCCAGTTCTAGGCCTCAAACCATGGTTGGCCATGTGGGAATCCAGCACCCTTAACCACCACATCACCTGCCATCCCTCATGTGTCATTTATTTTTCTAAGTGCTATTCCTATGTTCATTTCACCCTCAAAACAATATTGTGAGGAAGGTATTATGATTACTTCCATTTATGGATGAAAAACTAAAACAAGGAAAAGTTAAATAACTACATCATACAGGTAGTGATAATGATTTGTGGATACAGTGATGTTCAGGATATCTGGGGAGCAGAAATGAGTATACAGTTCAATGTGAAGTTTCAAGATAAGGATCCCAGAAGCGTAACTCTTGAACTAAGTTATTAGTCTAATAAATAAATGATGAAAAAATCCTTGAGATTTTCTGAAGAAACCAAAAAACCTGTCTCTAAAATGGTTTTACGTATTTTTATTTAAAATAACATACTTTTTTTTTTTTTTTTTTAAATAGAGAAAGAGACTTGCTATAGGGGGTATGTGCTTGCCAGAGAGAAAGACAGAAAGCACGAAATCATCCCCTTGTGGGGGTGGCCATGCCGCAGTCTGTTTTCCATTCTCCTGCTGGGATCTGGGCGTGCATGCACACTGATCTGGTGTGAGTTTCAAGCCACTGGGTCTGAGACTCCAACCGTGGTTGACTACATGAGAGTCCAGCAACATAACCATTACGCCATCTGCTGGTCCCAAAATAACATACTTCTTTTAAAAATGAAACTCACGTTGATTCTGATTTGTGTAGATGGTAGAGTGGATATATTTTCTTTAAGTGTTTGGTTTACTGACTACTAATTTGAATTAGAATTTAAGTTGATTTTATGTTCTTAAAAGTTGATAATGTAGCTTTAAAGTGACTCAGTTTTGATAAGTCCATCATAGATGCCAACAAACTATTTCATTAAGTATTTGTTGACTTCACTGACTAGAGACATGAGTGTGGTATATTACCTAGTTAGTTGCCTCAGCATGGCACAGTCTAATAGTTTTTTATGATTTTTATTTTTTCGTTGTGTGATTTTCAGGTTTAAAGACAATGACTCCAGGGCCAAGCCTTTCACAGCACTTGTCAGTCAATGAAAAGCTAATGCAAAGTGCCCCGGTGAATACTACAATATACGTAGCTGACACAGAATCAGAGCACGCAGATACATGGTAAAGCTTCTTTTTTAACAAATTCTTGTTATTATGCTATTAGTAAATTATCAGTATATTCAAGAAATAAAGTCATTGTCTTTATCAGGGCATCTCTTGGGAGATAAATTATGTCAAAGTGGGGTACTATGGACATTTTAGGCCAGGGACAGCAAATTTTCTGTAAAGTACCAGAGAATAAATACTTTTGCCTCTCTGGGCCATTTTCTCCTGTACCTACTCAACTCTGCAATTGTGGCAATGAAAGTAGCCATAGACAATGTATCGTTGAATGAATGTGGATATGTTCTAGTTAAAGTTTATTTACAAAAACAAGTGTCAAGCCAGATTTGACTTATAGGCCATAGTTTGCTGACCCCTCTGTTAGTTTTTTTCATTCTCTGCAAATGTACATCGAAGACCAAAACTAATTTACACGGCTTCATTTGTGACTGGTAAAATAAGTTTGAGTAATGTATTATTTTATACATATTGCCTACATTTGAATGTTGCTTATACTTCCAGAGATGCTTTATATATATCTACCTGGTAACTCGATAGTTAATATTTATCTATAAAGGTAGTTTTTCAGCAATTCTAGGGATTATTTGAAGAGATGATTATTCTTTTTCTTTGTTTTTGTTTTCATTTTGTTTTATTTTATTGCATCAGGGAGCATACACTCACCAGAAAGCTGGGGGGAGAGAGAGAAAATACCACCTATAAGGCACAGACACACTACGATCCCTTCTCCATTTCTCTATCTTGTCAGGATTTTGGATGCAAATGTATACTAGTGTGTTATTCAAGCCACTAGGACTAGGATACAAACCATGGTCTGCCATGTGGGATTGGGCTCCATTAACCATTAAGCTATAGAGCTGCCTGTTTTTTTCTTTTTAAGTGAAAGGGGTTAGGTCTTTTGATTTTTATGGTACTTTTAATTTAAGGCAACATATTTTATTTTAAATATCCTTTAAGGAAGTGTCTATATTAAGAAAACTTATCACTATATAAGATATTTTTATTTTTACTACACCAATATCTTCTTTTTTAAATTTGATAAAGGATGTATGCACTTGCCAGAGCGAGACAGAGAATAGGAGGAGAAAACACCCCCCAATGGGATATGTTCATGCTGCAATCTCTTCTCCATTTCTTCATCCTTTTGGGATTTGGGGCATGGATGCACATGCACCTGGCATGTTTTTGAACCCACTGGGGATAAGACTGTGTGGTCTGTCATAGAGGATTCTTCACCGCTAGACGACAGAGCCAGCCCTACACCAATATCTTATATTGAGGCCATATCTTAAACAGAAGTTGTTATGTTTTGAAAGTTGCTTGAATAACTTTACTGTTTTTCATAAAAAAGAAAAAAGGATAGCAAAAGCAGTATATTCAACCCTATGTTGTAAAACTCTGTGTGTGTGTGTTTAAAATATTTTTCAGGTAGTCTAGCATTCTATGCTATTCTAGAGATTGCCATCTGGCTGTAATATAACCATATCAGTTCATCCAAAGTGATCTCATTATTATATTATAGGATTTTACATGGAAGTAATTTAAAATCTAAACAAAACAAATTGCCTAGGGTTACCAGCTAGTTTATAGGAGGATGCGAGGTAGATATTTCACTTGTGTTTGGCAGTTGTTCATAGATGAGCATAACAGGTGATTCGTGCTGTAGGTGATAAAAAAGAGTAAGCTATTGTCCTTGTACAGGTGCATACATGACGAACTATCAATACTTTCTTGGGATGGTAAACTGTATTCACTGAATTGTTGCCTATGGATAATTGTCTTCTAAAGTTATATTGGAACCCTTTAAATCCTGTTCCTAGATCATAGGTGCTGTAATTGTAATTGTCTATACTGCATATTTTTTCTTTTGCTGCAGTATGGATTTGAGTGAAAGATCAAAAGAAATCAAAACTTCCATGATGGAACAAAAATTCAGAATGCTTTCACAAGAAACATCCGCTATAAACGAAACCCTCGAAACAAGCTCTAATGACAAGATGGTATCGATAACTACGGCCAGGACGAAACTCCCAAACTATCAGCTTTCACCAACAAAACTCCCAGGTGTCAGTAAAAGCAGAGCTCAAGCTTCTCAGCAGCTGCAGACCAACTCCATCAAAAATTACTTTCAGCCAGCTACGAAGAAAAGGTACATGTTTAGAAACTCCTCTTTTGAATCTCTAAAAATAATATTAGTTTTTTTTAATATATTATTGTAGAATGGTATTGTCTTTCACCTGCTCTGCTAAAGTATTGCTATGTTTCTGTGGAAAACTGACGCCAGCCCTTTGACCTCATTCTTTCTCAGAGATATCCTAATCCCCTCCTTCTGTAAAGCCATCGACAGATTCCCCTCCATCTTTCTTCTTTATCTTTGCTTATGTATTGTTTTACCATTTGCTATACCACT